GGGGCCCAGGAAGCTTCCCTGGGGCCCAGGAAGCTTCCCTGGGGCCCAGGAAGGCAAAAAATGGAGTGGGAGCGGGGAGGGGGGTGCTGCTCCCCCCTCCATTTTTTGCCTTCCTGGGCCCCAGGGAAGCGTCCTGGGCGAAACAGTAAGACAGTGAGGGGAATCCCGGCACAGCTGATCATAGGAATAGCTGATCATCGGGAGGGGGAAAAAAGACATACCTTGACTGGGCAGGGAAGAATGCAGTCAGCGATGTTGCGCATGCGCGATAAGGACTGACTGGGCGGGGAGGGGGAGGGATGGGTGGAGAGGGACAGGGCTAGCCAGGGGCACAATTTTTCAGTTCTCCGAACTGCACAGAAGCATAACAACCAGTTCTATAGAACTGATCTGAACCAGTAGAATCCCATCCCCTGGGTACTTGGCAACTGGCATGTATTTATGACAGTTGCACTATCCTGGGATCATGTGATCACCATTTGTAACCTTCCCTGCCAGCTTCTGACAATCCAAAGTCAATGGGGGAAGCCAGATTCACATAACAACCGTATGAATCACTTAGCAACTGCAGTTATTTATTTAACAACCATGAAGAAATCGGTTGTAAAATAAGGCAAAACTCACTTAACGATTGCCCTGAAAATAATCTTCAAATATATTTTGAAGACTGAGACTGAAGTGCTAAGGCAATAAGAAAATTGTTACTCTACCACCACCACACACAAGAACACAAATCAAACCAATGATTGTTTTCAACTGAATGCAGAATATTTTGCTTATTAAATCTATCCATTACTAATGCAGTTGTAATTTTATCTCTGCCCTCAGTTTCTACTGGTAATTGTTAATTCATGGCAGTTTTAATTACTCTTTTACTTTGCCATGTTGGGCTCTGTTATTATGTCTGAATACAATTTCCCTTGTGGAAAGAAGCCAAGGATGGGCTTGCTCTGTGGGGAAATGAACAACCGCGAGTTTGTGTTTGCTTACAGAAGTGCCTAAACTTTAGTCTCAAGTGGCTACATCTTTATGGCACAAATGCATTTAGCTCTTGCTGACTGAAGGCAAGGTTGGATCCCAAGAGCCAGTAGCCCAACTAGCTTGGCTTGAAACTGTTCTCCTTATCTGAAAATATATTCCTCAGAACCAAGGTAGAGACTGACTGGTACCACAAGCAAGATGTCATTTATTTTGCTTTCTGTTTTTAATTTACTTCCCGAGGCAAAATTGATCCCTTTGGAAGTCCATGGCCTCAGTATATACATACCTTTTAGCTTAATTAAAAATAAAGAACAAGCACTGCTATTTCTGAGTAAATGTGTTACACGAATCAATTCTCTGCACTTTTAATTTCTTTCTTTCCCAGCTCTGTGGCATTATGGGAAACTTTTTTGTCTATCATGAGGTGTTTCTGAAATGCTTCCATATACATTTCTATGAAGCTTAAAGAGACAGTGAAATGGCAATATTTGGAAAGAACTGGAATAAGTTGTCTGCAGATGAGGGCTAAAGTGAATGTATCCAAACCAAAATTCATATGACTGCTTTAGCAGATGCAAAAGGAAAGGAAAGGAAGAAGGAGGAAAGAGAGGGAGGAAAGGAAGGAAAGAGGGAGGGAGGAAAGAAGGAACTTTTGTTGCACAATAGAGAATGAAAATAAACTCCCTACATGCAAACCATCACAGACCCAGATTTCTCTATGATACTATATACTAGTTTACTTTCATTTAATAAAGTAATTAACCTGCTGTGATATCTTTAACATCACTTCCTGGAAAGAAAATATTGACCCAATATAAAGATTGACATTCCTGATGCTTTCCAGATGTGTGGTAACTTGGACTCCCAGAATTACTGATTAGCAGTTTCAAGGGTGGGGAAGAATGAGATGCTGGATTTCCCAGGTGGGTTGGAGATTGATTTGGCCAGACCTCTAGTTCTGGGGAATTTCAGACAGGGGCAGGAACTTGGACAGCTTATAAGTTCAAGACTCTCATGGCAGCCATGTAACATCTCATCAATGGGAGCTGCACTAGTTGCCAGTCTGCTTCTAGTACATTAAGAGCTGTGGTGGTACAGTGGTCCAAATGCATTATTGCAGGCTAACTCTGTCCATATCCAGGAGTTCGACCCTGACCAGCTCAAGGTTGACTCAGCCTTTCATCCTTCGGAGGTTGAAAAAATGAAGATGATGTTAAATAATGGGTAACACTAAGTGTTACACATTTAGAATGAAGCCTTAACTATATCAAAATTTAAAAATAACTTTGTGGTTTATTGCACTCTATGCTATTTGCCAAGCAGGTGGTGTTGGTTTTCTTCCCATCTAAATGACAGAATGGATGGTTTTAAATATTATAAGAGGAAAAAGAAGTAATATTGATTTTATCCTTATTTCAGTCCTGTTTAGTCATTTGGTTCTAAAGAGTAAAAAGCTTAATGGGAAAACACGAGATCATCCTCACCTGTTGAGGGACATGATTGATTTCTATTTCAGACTCTCTATCCTGTTATTTTCCCAGTATTTAAAGGCTCTCTGCATATTTATTTATTAAATTTGTACACTGTCCAACTCTCAGTCGCTCTAATAACGGAACATATGTTTTACTGCTACACCTGTTACATTCTATGCGGAAAATCCTAATGTAATCTAACCATATTTTTTCATGCAGCCAATAGAGCTAAAGAAAACATGCTAGCATGGAATGGAGGAAGCAAGACAGAACCCTCCTCCCCACCCCACACACACAACAAGTGTGTGACTAGTTTATAAAGGGTTGGAAAAAAAGATGAAAAATTGGAAAGGACAGTCTTCTCCCTTCCTGAGAAAGATTGGCATTCTTCTTCTGAAGGCTTCTCTCCTCTGCACTTTGGAAACCTTTCAACAAGCAGTTTTTAAAAAACAACTTGAAGAACATTTTTATGAGCTTTGCTTGGAAGAGAGATTGCTCTGAGCTCTTGCTTGGATGCTCCCACCCCAGATGGAGTCTTTGGATTGTTTATTGAGAAAGTCCAAGCTGCAATATTGCATTGACTTGAGAGAGAAAAAAAATCTCTGCAGCATCAAAGAAAAATATTTTTTTTCATTTTTAATCTGAATATTAGAAAGCGTGGTTTTGGCTGGCCTCAGGTTAATGCTTGTATATTTTACAGACACTCTGTTTTCTTTTACGGAATCTTGTGATATATTGTTCTAAATTGGGTTTATGATTGTTGCATGTTCCTTTGGGATAATTGCCATTCTGAAAGGTGTTGATATTTCTAAAGAACCGGAGACGCATGCATTGATTATAAGTGTGCGTTTCATGCCTAAGAGGGCAAAAAAAATGCACTGTTTATGCAGAACCTTTGCTTGAGCAATGTGGAATAGCAGTCTCTGTGCTCCCAATCTAGCACATTAGCTATTAGACAATCCAACCCTCACATGCATGTGTATATGTGTTTATGTGTGTTGTGTGAATGGGTGGGGGAAACAATTTGTATATTTTATATTTCATACTCATGCATTAATATCTTTGAATGTAAGTACAACTTGAATAGAACTAGCCGGGCTGTTTTTAAATGCTCTTGCTTGAAGCTCGTGATTGTAAGAAAAACTTGTTTAGAATGCTACCTGAGTTCTTGTTCCCTACCATTGAACAGCAATGCTGTCGCAGCCGAAAATGGGGTGTGTGGGGGCTGCCCCCCCCCCCAGGTTCTGTTTTCGCTAGCAGTGGGCTATCAAAACAAACTAAAAGCAAAACAAAAGGAGAAATAGTTTTGCTGTTGCTTTTGAGCATGCAAGAAGGGACAGGAAAGGAGAAAGGGAAAAAAGAAAGACAAAGAAAAAGATGGAAGGAGAGCAAGAAAGGAAAAATAAGGAAAGAGGGGAAGGAAGAAGAAAGAATAAAGAGGGAAGGGGAAGGAAGGAAGGAAGAAAGGAAGGAAGGGAGGGAGGGAGGGAGGGAGGGAGGGAGGGGATTATAATAAGAGTGAGGGAGGGTCTCAGGGAAGTCCTGCCTTAGCACTTGGCTACCACAGATGCCTCCGCCCATCCCTGATCATGCCCATCATGGCCACGCCCAGCCCCAGCCCTCCAAGGTCAAACACAACCCTGATGCGGCCCTCAATGAAATTGAGCTTGACACCCCTGTCTTAAAGTGTTCTATACAGCTGCATAACAGCCTAGGGAACCACAGGTCTTTCCTTTAGCCATGGTTTAAGTGAGCCACAACTGACTACCATCCACATCCACTTACAATTCTTAGGCTGTAGCCAGCAAAAGACTTATTGTTTCCTACTTGGGCTGGAATCATATTAGTTTATGGCCTTGTAGCTATTATCAAATAGTTATTTTAGCAAGCCAATTTTGGGGGGAATGTGCAGGGCTGAGTTGTTTGTGTGGTGTTGCCCATCTCCAGGCTGACTGGTGGATAGAAGGACTGTTTGATACTTTTCTTTCTTCTCCGATCATACTTATATTGTTAGGACACTGCAAGGCATGAAACCTATCAAGGCAATATTATTAACTCAAAAATTAAAACAACATGTTAGCCCGCTTCAAACCTCATCAATTAATCAATTGGGCCTCAAGGTTTGGACTTTGAACATGAGAGTTCTGAAGAGTGGCTTTTCCACTGCACTCAGTATGCCACCGATTGTAATTTATTTACTTTCATTTGTACATAGAAGCACTGCACTGTACTGACACAGAAGTAAAATGAGCCCATAAAAGTAACGAAAGGCAAGGTTTTCCAATAGCTTGAGCATTTAATTAAGAAAGATCAGAGCTGCATATAGAAGATGTTTATGGAAATCATAAATTTTTAATTAATGTCTTTTCACAGCTGAGCTGCCAAGTAAGGGTGCTGAAAATGCTTTGCTACTTAATAAGCTGGGAGAACGATATAGCTGGTTTCCCGTGTGAAAGAGCAGAGTTCTTTTAAAAGGAGTCCTTGGTCATTACTGCAATTCATATTATCTCTTTATGGACTCATACTATTTCTCCTGTTTCATTTCAGAGGCTGGCTGATGCGGCAGAGAAGTTTCAGAAGGCCCATCGATGGCAAGACAACATTAAGGTAAGTTTGTAAATCTTTGAGTGGCCTCTTCTGTCTCCCCTGTCTTGGGTTCCTTTTTTCCTATTCCTTTGGTTTAACATGATCTTCACTAAACTAACATATATAAAGTAGACCTTGATTTACAACACTTCATTTAGCAACCATTCAAAGTTACAACGGCACTGAAAAAAGAGACTTAGGACCATTTCAAAATCCCCATGGTCAGGGGTGGGCTTCAAAAATTTTAGCAAAGGGTTCTCTGCCTGGTTGCTGGGTGGCTATGGCCATGATGGGCATGGCCTAATTGGCCTCCTGCATCACGATGGGGAGGGATTTTTGCCCTCCCCCGGCTCCGGAGGCTTTCCTCAAGCCTCTGGGAGGGCAAAAACAGCTTCTCCAGGCTCCACAGGCTCTCTGGAAGCCAGAAACAGGCCCATTTCCGACCTTCCTGAATTTCTGGGAGGCCCGTTTTTTGCCCTCCCCAAGCCTCTGCGCAAGCCCTGCACTTACTTACATCCCAAAGGGGCCGTGTGTGGACTCCTGGGACTAGTGGGGTAGGGTGGGCAGGGCCAGCCAGGAGTGGGATTTGGGGGTTCTCCAAACTGCACAGAATCATAGCTAGGGGCTCCCCCAAACCCCTGCGAACCCCCAGCAGCCCACCCCGATTGAAAGAAAAAAAGCACAAGTACAAAAAATGGAAAGAAGGACATACAACTAAGGCAGAATATCAGCAGATAGCCAGAATCTGCAAAGACAAAGTCAGGAAAGCAAAGGCTCAGAACGAACGAAGACTTGCAACAAAAGTCAAAGATAATAAAAAAAAAGTTTCTTCCAACATATAAATAACAAGAAAAAAAAATCAAGGAAACAGTCGGTCCACTAAAGATAGAAGATGGCAAGGAAGTAGCAGGCAACAGAGAGAAAGCAGAACTGCTTAACTCTGATTTCTAAAAGCAAGCTCCATCTTATCATCTTATCATGTGCGGATGCCCTGTTCTGGTCATTGATTTGTTCATTCATTTAATCAAATGTATATGGCCACCCATTTCACAGAATGCGATTTTGGGTAGCGTACAACAATCCAATCAAAAAGTAGAAATGTACAGAAGTCATTATCCAAAACCATCATATAATAATGGTTTAAAACCATTTAAAACTATAAAAACTGAACTAAGACAGAGGTTCCTAGTTCTCTTAGTTCTCAGAGCCTCCCAGCTGTACTGAAAGTGAATAATGTCATTTTGAACTCATTTTTATTATTACCTCTGCTCACACGTGCATGAAATCAAGACAATTCAAAAGGCTGAAGGCGAAGGTCAAAGTAATGGTTAAAGAGTTGTTTTCAGGTTGCCATGGAGAACTCCTTGGAAATCTTGCCATTTTGCCATCTCAGCAGTCTGAGAGGAATTGTATAGGTTGCCCTGCAGGGAGTGTCCAGAAAGATGATTCTTAAATCAACGAGGGCAGCAGGAACCTGGCATTTTTCTTTGCTTTTACCTTTTCCATAGGATTTGATGCAATTTCATTCCAGCTGAGGTAGGTTCTGGAGGAGGACAGAGCAACTGAAATGCATGCCAAGCAAATGTTGCTGGTTTAATTTGAGTTTGAAATTATGGCACCGCTGCCAGGAAATGGGTATTCTACTTGGAAATTCAGCCAAATGAAACCCAAGGAAAGAGATCTTCTTTTCCTTTCAGGAAGAGGATTAAGGAAAATAATTTCAAGCCAGTCAATCTACTCTTGCTAATCATCTGTTTATAGGGGTGTAAGAGGAAGGAACATTTCTTTGATGCAAGCTGTTTTTGTTCATACTATAAAACGTTGCCCCATGGTATTCTCCAAATGTATTTATTTATTTACTGAATTTCTGCACTATCCAATAGCCAAAGCTCTCTGGGCACTTCAGAAATTAATGGTGGAGACCATAAATATACAGATATAATAAAACTTAATGCAAAGCATTAAACAAATAAAACAGCCTCAGAATGAATCCAAAATAAACAGCTAGGGGAGGCTAATAGGAATGGGATAATCTAAATGATGCTAATAACTTTTAAAGCAAAATATTAAAAGGCTAAGCAGCCTGGGAGAATAAAAATGTCCCCACTTGACCCACTGTAGACTATAGCGTAAGCATCATTGGAACTTTTCCAAGAAGAGAAGAACATACCTTAATCCAGGTAGCACCACTGATTTTTTTTTAATCATTTGGCAGGGGTACTTGGAAAGCAACCTCAGAAAATGATCTTAGAGGCCATGTTGCTCTATAAAGGAGTGACACTCCTTAGAATTAAACAGTTAACACTTTTGAAAAGGCCTGTTGGGACTCATGGATAAGCATTAGAAAAAAAAGTCATGGAAGCTTGTTTTTATATATGAAAACAACAGTGAGACTATTATATGCTCAAAAATAGTATATCAACCTACAACGGAGGAATGGTTGATGAAAATAATGGAACTTGCAGAGATAGCTAAATTAATTTCATTAGTTCACTGGAAACCCCTTGTAGACTTTTTGTACACAACTTATTCATGAAATAGAAAAAAATGCATTTATGATTGCTGGTTTTAATAATTAGGAAAAACGTGGACAAGAAAAATAGTAATCATAGAATAAGAGATAATTTTGTAATTGTACTTATACCGGTTTTTGCTGCAAAGGATTTTGAAAGCGTCTCTCTCTTTTTCTCCTGTCTCTGTCCTTTGTAAAAAAAATTGAAACAGAAAGGAAGGATACATCCAAACCACAAGCCTTCTCATCAAGGGTTTCTGTGTTACTGACATTGTGTCTTGCTGGTCCAAAGAAAAGAATTATGTCACACATGATTTAGTGCCACCTCATAAAGCAGGCTTTCCCAAACCATGAGGTATATCTTCCTGGGAAAGGTGCAGACAAGAGTTCAGGGGAGGTGTGAGAAACTTTTTCATTATATTGTTACAATAAATCTACCTTTCCTAAAGTTTTGTTTTCATTGTTCATTTGTGTTCTTTTCTGTGTATGGATTTTTAGGCAGGGTATACTTTAAGACTACACCCAAGGCAAAAGGTTTAGGAACCTCTACCATAAAGGATGGTCTTCTGGAGAAGTAAAATTGCGTGGTGCAGATCTTAAGTTTCATATTATTTTCCATTTATTTCAGTTCTCTTGCATGCTTTCATGGTCATGTGGGTGCCTGATTTGAAGTGGCTCAAAGCTTCTTGTGCGATACATAATTAAATGTCATTTGCAATTCTTTTCTGATAATCATGATGCATGAATGTGCATTACACAAAATGATTGTTCTGATGGGAGATAATCATTGTGCATTTAAACTGATGATTTTTGCAATGAGATATATCAGTTGGCAAATCCAAACCTGTGTTGAGTTGAGGGGTAGGTAATTGTTCTTATTTTGTTTCTGTTTGCTTAGATTTATCTTAGAATCTGTCCATGTAAGTAATCAACTTTTAAATCTATAGCCCACTACAGAATTTTTAACAAATCGATCACAACTTGTTTACTAACAAAAACATCCCTTTCAGACACTTAAGATTACAATTCCAAGAGGAGAGGTTTAGCCACAGCTTTATTAATTTTTATCTTCCCTAAGTGAATCCTGCTGTTACCAGTCCTTTTCCTTGGCTACGCCTTAATAGGTAAAGCCCTGATCATTGATCTGTCATGGTTATGGCAAAATGCCTAACCCACCTTATCCATTTTTAGCAAGCCCCAAAAACATCACAGAATGCTTGAGGGATTCTAATCTCTTTTTGTTTGCCTTTGCTGTTACACAATTCTCCTGGTATAAAATTTGTTTCTATGCTGTTTTTTTTTATTTTATTTCACTGATTATCTTCACTGCCTTTTACTTTAACAACTTTAATTGTTGTGCACTGGACTGGATTCCTAATTATAACTTCAAAATCATTTATAATTATTAATTATGATTTTACTGTAGTTTGAACTACTTGGATTATGTTGCAGGCAGAGAAATGGAAGGTGGGCTCATCACTTACCTGTGGGAATTAGAAACCTAGTTGGTTCTTCTCTGCTCCTGAATAAACACTGTGGGATTAAAGGATGTGAGAGGTGTATGGAGCTGTTAGGAATTGCTCTGTTTATCATCTTCAGTCATGGATCTCTAAATACTTGAATTTCAAGGCTATTATTTTATGCAACTAATTATGAAATTATCATAGTCCTCAACATCTTGTGCTATAATGAATTAACTGGTCTTTAAGGGTACTCAAAGACTGTTTTGAGTGCAACAGATTGAACACAACAGCAACTAGCTTCTGGCACTCAATTCTGCTGCATGGATAAAGCATAAGCTGACTTTAATATCCATTGGATTCAAGTGGTAATTTCTCTTATATATCTGACGCAGGAAGCATGTGGATTTACCATATGCCTCTAAGAGTTTATAGCAGTTTTGTTTACAAATATGTTTTGGAAGGTTTCTTTTTTTTCTTTGCTTACATAGGTTTATTCAAACATTCTGGAGAACTGTTCCCACAATGATCATGTGAGATTTTTGGGAGGTGAGGTAATAATTCCAAGATAAAATGTTACTGCATTCCAAAAAAGCAGGAAAATTAATATCTTAGATATAAATATTTTCCAAAAGGTGAATAGGGTTTGAAAACAAAGTAATGTATTCTGGATGTAAATTTAGGTGGGGTGCTAATTGCAAATCCACATCAGGCTGTGAAATATTTCAGGTTAGCCCTAAATTGGATAGACCATAAGACACCCTTATGGACAGAGGATGGATTTTATGTGTGAAAACGCTTCTAACCTAGATAGCATCCTTCTAATACTGTGGAATGCACTTATAAGTAGAATCAAAGTCTGTTCTGGTGAAGATTAAATGAAGTTATTGCTTTTTTGTTTGGTTGCTTGGGTGATGGGATTATTTTATATAGAGATGAAGACAGAGACGTATCTAGATAGGAATAAATGATTGGAGGGAGCAACTACTGAAGGTCAGTGAAAAAAGTCTTATGGGAAGAAAAATATTTCCCTATCACTCTTCCCTCAT